AAGCCAGCGACAAGGAGAAGGTACGTTTTATTTCTGTGAGCTAACAACTGCTGACATGATGGAACAAAACCCCTGAGGCAAACTTGTCAAATGACGGCTAAATTAAGACATTATAAGTAAGCAGGTGTTTTTAGTTGTCATGCTGTCAGTGTGTAGAGCTCTGCTTTGAGACAGTTATTCACTCTCACCACGGCCACTGAGTCAGACCTTTGTCTTTATGTATTGGCTATAATCTAACAGTTATGAACTGGTAGTTTTTTTTCTGTATCAATTAATCATTTCTCACATTATCAAGTAAAACTGCGATTCGGCTGTTGCTATATACAACCCACGACACTCCCTCTCTCTTCAGGCTAAAGAACTCCCCACTTTGAAAGACAACGACTTCCTGAATGAGGGCCAGAAGCTGCAGATAGGAGATGACAACAAGAAGTACTTTTTGGAGAAGCTAAAACGGGATGTAGAGGTAATAAATATAACCATGTCATATCATCTGATGTAGAACTGAGCTGCCTTACAGTATAGATATGACCCGCTGAATTAATTTGAAACTCCTTTAAGCACAGTTACAGGGCTCATCTGAGAATTTGTCAACCCTTCTCTGTATTTTCTTGTTATAGATGCCAGACCTCGTGAATCATAGGCCCTGTTAACACCTGACATTAAAATACATCCTGAGTGTGTCTCCTGTGATCAGATCTCACCTTCCCGCTCAATATGAAAATAATCACATACGTTATTTGTGTTGTGAAAACCAAATAATGTTGGCGGTGGTTGGACACAAACATATAGGCACTACAAATTATTTTGGTGCTGTGGTCCAGGATGCATTTCCTTTCATACAGCAAAAAGAATGAGGCCAAGTGCATCCCAGTCCATCTCTGAATGTGGATAGAGTGATCTGATCTCAGGGCACATTGAGGACGCATTGAGTTCACACCTGAATTTAGCTCTGACCTCTTATGATCCAATCAATCAGCGTGGATGTTTATACCAGGTCTGGATGGGGTTGTTTACACACTGGCACAGGGAAAATTAGTACAGTATCCACCCCCTGGGTTGGGCAATAACAATGTGGTTCTTTGTTATGTTCATTGCTAGTGCAGTATTTGAGCCCAGTGGTTCACACGCAATTAATTAAAACCCCTTTAAAGGCTTTAATCTGGATTTTTGATTTGTGTGATTTCAACCATTGGGGCAGTTTTAAGGAGTTTTAAGCGATCATGTCATTATATAAAATATGAATTTGAATACATATTTCATATGGTTTGCTGTACCGACCGTCTCTTATGTGTCATAGTAAAATACACAAAGGAGCAGATTTGCTCATAAAACACTGGACTGAGTGTTTTCTGTGCGTGTCCCATGTGTTTATCAGTTCCTGGCCACCCTGAAGATCATGGACTACAGTCTCCTGGTGGGCATCCATGATGTGGAGCGGGCGGAGCAGGAGGAGATGGACGTGGAGGCTGCCGGAGAGGAGGACGAGTACGAGAACGATGGCATGGGCGGAGGCGTTCTTACCGGCTCCTTCGGCACGCCTCCCGACAGCCCCGGAAACCCTCTCAACTGTGGAGGATTCTTTGGCCCTGGGGAGTTTGACCCCTCTGTGGACGTTTACGCAATCAAGAGCCACGACAGTGAGCGTTGTCTTTGACATCCATGTGACGTAGTGAACATGGCGGTAGATTTATATTACGACACAAACGGATGATGAGATGACGTTTATATTGTTTATTTTATTCAAGTGTGTTTATGGCAGCATTTCCCTTGAACTGCAGGTATTTTGGCAGTTTTAACAATCTGAGCTTACTTACAATAAAACTTAAAATTAAAGAACGCTCAACTAGAGTGAAATTGTCAAAGTAGTAGTAATAGAATAGTAGTAGATGTGTCAAACAAAGCAAAGAAGCGATAGCAGTGCACCGTTGATCCCTGTGTTTTTCAGGTGAGAGTAACGTATGTGTTGTTTTTTGAATAGGTGCTGTGAGGAAGGAGGTATACTTCATGGCGATCATCGACATCCTCACGCACTACGACGCTAAGAAAAAAGCTGCACATGCTGCCAAAACTGTGAAACATGGGGTGAGTGTAAACACGACTTAATGATTTTACACATTTAAAAAGGCGAAAGCGAATGGAGTCAGTATTGATAAAAGAAATTGTGTAGTAATAGAAAAATACATAAACTATTTTAAGGAAAATTTGGAAATATAAACACATTAATACTTATAGGAAATGTATAATCATAAATTAAGTTTTATTGTTAATTTAAAAACTCATTATCATCTTATACTTTATGGCCACAAAGAATAAATCAAATAGATTGTATCAAGTGTCACCAGATGAATCATTAATGAAAACAATAGTTACCTGTTGGCCTTAATGTTACCTAGTAAATTGGTTTTTCAAACTAATCGTCAGGTCTCTGGGTTCCTTAAAGTGCATTTAAGCTGATATAACACAATACTGCTTTTTAAATCACAAGTATTTTTTGGTGCATTGCATGTGTTGCTTCCTTTAACTCGTATTTCCTTTTTTGTTATTTGTTTTTCAGGCGGGGGCCGAGATCTCGACAGTGAACCCGGAGCAGTACTCCAAACGATTCTACGAGTTCATGTCCAACATCTTATCATAGACTCATCTCTCATGTCCCAGTCCAGCCGGTCACTTCCTGTCATAGATCTGTCAGAAGCCACGCACTTATTTCTCCTCTCTCACCTCGGTGTTGGTCCATCTTCCCCCTGCTTCTCAGCCCCTTTTAAAAAGAACCCTCCAGGTCCCTCAGTCCGGACCAGTTTGGCAGGATGGATGTACCAAGCCTGTTACTGTCCCACAAACACACCACCACCTGGTTCCTCATCCACAGCAAAGAAAACTCATGAGATCCCTCCCTGAATTTGGAATGACCTCCCGATAATCTCCCTCTCCTTTTTTTAAAAATGTATCTGCTCCACAGCCACCTTGTTGCCCCTCACGCCAGCACGGAAACTGTCTCACTAATGCCTTGAATGAGTGTGTCAGCTTCAGCAGTTATCAATCTCTTAGTACAGTCTCTTCGGTTCCTGTTCATGTTGTTGTTGTTCTTTTGTTTTCTATTACACACACAGATGTAAAGGACTCACAGATGCAGAATGGTCAGATTGCATGACAAACCCTTCGACAGTCGACATCAGGCTTTTCTCTCAGTAACAAAAAAAAAAAGGACAGCTGATAAATTGGAACGACGGTGGATCAACATTAATATATAATGGTGTATTAAGTAAATTAATGCAATATCAAAAATGCATGGCTGATGTGTACATGAGACTCCACCAGTAAGTTGAAACATCAAACCACTGAAACTTAGCATCTGAGTGTGATGACTAAAATAAGAAAAAAAAAGAGAAAAAAAATTGCTGTTTGAATGTTACGTTGCCATATTGTTTTTGAATATTTCTTGAAATTTTAACCGTGAGCTTGGTGGAGGTCGGTCTAAGAAAAAAAAAATCACATTAAAAGGGGAATTCTGCAGCAAATACTTGTTTTATTACCATAAGGATCATTTTTATATCTTGTTTACATTAATGTAGCAATTTTGTGTTTGTATACAGTATTGTTTTGTTACCAACAGACATTAGAAAAAAAGGTTACTTGAAAATGATTCATTGCATATTAAAGGGAGTTTTATCTTGTTTTTGTTGTTTGGCTTTGCTCATTTCTTCAGTGGCTGTTCACCTGTTTTCAGTTTGTGCCGTCTTTACCTCTGACAAGGACGTTCTGTTAGTTTGATCACTCAAAAGCTGCTTAACTGATTTCAGTGAAATTTTATGGAGGGCTGGGAAATGACTCGGGAAGACCTCATTACATTTTGGAGCAGATCCAGGGTTTTGTTTACTTTCTAACACGTGGTGAGATGGAGCATTACTCTTGGAGGTATCTACTCTGAGCTCCTCTATCTAAGTTTAATATAACTGTCATCCCACCTCACTTGTACATTTTGGGAATATCTTTTTTGTTTTTTAAGGATCCTGGGTCTTAGCTCGGTGGAATGTTTGGATGCTGCAGGAACGCCCCCAGAATATGTTGACAGGTGTCCAATGAAAATGAAACAGGTTGACAAAACCCCCATTCATAGGGAATATGTATGAAAATCATGTGAATCATATGCAGTTGCCTTGGCAGACACCAGAACTAATAGATTTTTAACAGCACTACGCGTTATCATCTAAATAAGACCTGAGCGAGTATCTTTTGGAAAGATGTGTGTTCATCTCTCCAGGGGGTTTCAGAGACTTGTGGTGGGCCTGCACTTCATCTAGGCCAGGCTGATGAAATCAATAGAAACTATAGAGCGTCTTACTCTGATATTTGCATTAACACATGCACAGATACACGCTCCGGAGAAAATTCAGAGGAACCGCAGTCCATTACATGTCTGAAAGCAGCTTATGTTCTTTTTTTCTCTTTACTTCAGAGAATTGCCACATTATTAAGGGCAGGTTACATTAAAGGGCACTCAAGTCATTTACCACTTCCTTTTCTGAGATTTTAAAACTGAAGAGCCCAAAGTATCCTGAATTGGCTCAAACTCAAAACAATGCTAGATCCTACACTTCCCACAATGCTTCTCAGTAGTCTACTTTTGTTAGATCCTCCCTTCCACATATACATACACCAGTGTTGGAGGATGCTTCTGCAGTGAGTTATTAGTCTGGAGCTGCCTTAGGTGTGAAAACAATGCAAGAAAACTGAGTTCTCTAGCTAATCCTCATGTCTGTGATCACAAAACTGATAAAGAACAGCAAGAAATACTCCACTCAGCTAACATCACTACTGTCTCCTGTGTTTAATGTATGAATTCAGTTATCATAGATGACACTTTGGTTGGATGAAGAAAAAAAAAAGACCTGCCTGATAAGTAGTGACGAAGACGTCTGAGTTCTGAACAAGGCATGAATCGAGTGCATTGTTTAAACCTAATTTGATTTATTGAACAATATCAATAGGAAAAAAAGAAGAAGAGTACAGGCATTGTTTATTACTTTTATACAAAATATGTGTGGTGACGTGGGGGGAGAAACAGAAGCTCTAGTCCATCCTGGCCTTCAGGGTTCGTGTGGTGAGCTTGTCTTTCTCACTGTCAGACAAAAGAAAAGACTGTCAATCACAGCAAACCTGTAACTCCACCCATACTGAACCTGTATGTACTGTCTACTTGTTATTAGGGCCGCCAATCTTCCTCTATAGTCCCATTCCTATTTTAGTTATTTGTAATATTTCAATATATTGGAATTCTTAATGAGATTTCTACAAAAAAATTAGCCTATTATTCTAATGTACCATGTACAAAGCAGACAGCCCGAAATTCATTCCAACATCCATACTTGTTATCACTGTACTTACATGACATTAACAACAACTCCCATGCCAGACACTGCATCCCTGTCAACTGCGTTCAGCATCGCCTGGGAGATGGTCTCAAACAGGTCCTCTGGTTCCTGCAGGATCAAACAGATCTCTCAATTAAAGTCAAGAATTTAACCAATCCACAACTAAAGAACCTCTGTAACCAGAATGTGGAAAATCTAGTTAAACCTAACAAATGACCAGTACCAGAAAGGAGAGTGTCTCTACCACTAGCCCCTTTGGTTCAAATGGAAAAAGCCGACACTAGATGAATCTGCCATTGGCTGTGGAAAACAAACCTGTGTAGTTTTCTCCCATAGACATTAATATGTCATATACATCATTTAAATGTACAGAAATGTACCCACGGTTCCCCATTACAATGAAGGACACTGCAAACATGATACGTGCACAGTACTTGTTGACACACAAATAAACTGGCATTAATTGTTGTTTATCATCCTACAGACTTAACACACTACTTACCATGTCTGGCTCCCACAAAGACTCACACATGCCGTACATCTGCTCCGAACAGGTGCCACTCACAACAAAGTCCTCGGTCACCATGGGGCAACCGATCAAATCCAAGGAGCAGATGAACGGCTCAAAGGTTTTGGGATCTAGTCCAGCGATCACAGGCTCGATGTAGTACGGCCCAAACCTAACAAGAGCACCACACGTTAACCACACCGCCTTGTACTTTCCATCTGAACACAAGTGGACAGAATGAAACTGGAATCAGCTCGCTCACCTCTTCTCGTACAGTAGGTTGGAGACCATGCTCATGAAGGTCTTGGGCTTGATCTGGCGGCCCTCCTTCAGTTCATACAGGTTCAGTCTGAATTTTAGCCTCTGGGATCTGAACACAAGGCAAACATGTGCAGTTACAATTAGTGTTATCACAGAGAAGCTCCCCATTTATCAGCCCTGATTAAACACTGTACATTACTGCAATTATCTATAGTCTACAACCACATGTGTCTTGCTTTTTGATACAAGCACTGTCCATGTGTAATTAAACTTGAGACTCTAGGTTTTTACTGGAACCAGTGTATACCATCATTTCACACTCACACTGTCTGAACATCAGTGGCCAGTCCAGCCAGCCCAATGTGCAGCCTATCTCCCATGGGAAAGATCTTCTGGAAATCTGTGGTGACCATCTGAGCCTGAATGCCAAATCTTCGGTCTGCTGCTATCGCCACGCAGTTCTTCCCCCGCATGGCCATGACAGCCCCTCCATTGTAGGACATAATAGACTGTATGGAGAGAACAAGAAGAGAGATATGTCCATCAGCCATGAGTCAGTCAATCAATCAAATGATTGGCAGCAAAAGTTCTGATCAAATCAAATGACAAAAGACAAACATCCTACCTGTGTCATTGTGAACACTAATGTTTCATTAGCTACAGTTGATTGATTAATTCATTTAATTAAAGCTTTATAAAGCAATGAGTGTAAATCGAGGACCTACAGTGATGAACATGAAAAATAAACGTATTATATCACACTTAAAAGCACAGATAGGTCCACTTCAGTATATCTACCGTGCACATGAAAACATGCAGCTATTAGTTCTTTCAAAGAAGTCGACCTGACGCGAATGAAATACATGACAACTCAAATTGTGGCAACGTTAGCTCGTGTATGTCAAGCTAGCTAAGTACTCAGCTTTCTGACTGTCGTTGGCCTCGACTATTACACTTTATGGTTCTGTGTTGTTTACTGAAACGTTTCCTAAAATTGAGTTATCCAGGGAAATGGTTTTCAACTTAGCGTTAAACTCGCTGCTGGAAAATAACAGCTACCTTAAAGTAGCATGCTAGAACTACCTCTGAGCTAACATTAGCTTAGCCCAGCTATTGTAGCTGTGAGCCTTAAATAACTGATCTGAAACCTGTCTACACAACCAGTTGTACTCAGATCATGTACTGTGTGGTGTTCTTACCATTGTGGAGGTGTTGTGGTGTTTTCCAAACTACTGGAACCTGGAAACTCTTCTCCTCAGCTATGAAGCAGCACTGTTAGCTGCAGCTTCCCACAGTGACTACACGATTTGGAAACACGGAAATCACACTAACCGTAAAATCCCTGCGTCATCGCGTACTCAAAGGTAATTGGCTGGATGAACGTCGCTCGGTGCGCAGCGCTACGCTCATTGGACCACACGGGGGCCGTAGAGCCGTGCGTGCATAGTTTGGTTGAGGCGTGTTGAAAATGAAATTGAAACAGGGCTAATCGTTAAAATGAATGGTTTGGCTTCAGTTCTCTGCTGATCCTCGGGTTAGCTATGCTAACAACACCTCATGATCGGTTCACGTCTCTCTTGGTTTTCTGCTAACCGAGTATTAATACATGACCACCTGGAAAAAGTACCTCAAAAGTAAAGTATCAGCATGTATGTAACAGGTGACATGAGCAAACATGTATTCATATTTCTACACCTGCAGCCATTAAAGTCATCATGAATTATCTCGATTCTGATCAAATGAACATGGTTTGTCTATCAACTATTTTCTACATGATTGTGCTCCACACGGCCTGATAAGGTTCTGAGTAAATAAATGATGTCTGGCACAAGCAACAACACACAAGTCATGTTATGAAACCTGGATGTGATCAATTAAAAATGTAGATGTTGATCTGATAATCACTCTTATTGTTTTCATTATAACAACTAGTCTGTCAGAGCTGAGACCTGATGGCACACAACTGTTCCTGGTCTCTCTCCCTCTCCTCCCTCATATCACTCTCTTCTTTTCCAACCATCTCATCTCTCTTCCCCAAGTTCCTCTGCCCACCCCAACCGGTGGAGTCTGGTTCTGCTTTTTCTCCGTTTTTTCTCTCCAGTCACCAAATTGTTTGCTCATAGTGTGAACTGTTACGTTTCATCATCGTTTTTCAGGTCTTGGCCTTATATGTCAAGTGCCTTAAGATAATATATATTATGATTTGGTGCTATACAAATAAAATGGAATTGAATATTTGGCTTCAATATCAAGTTAATGCGAGTACAATCAGAATGGCAGTGATACCATGAGTTTTTGCTTAAAAAACAAAAACAAATAAAGGCATGGTGGAAATGTTTTTTTATTCCAGTTGCTACTAACAGGAACACACCAAGTAAGAAGCATATATTACAAAAACATTTGAAATAAAATCAGGTTCAATCATACTGTAAAAATAAAAACCGTATATACTGTACAGAGTTCAGAAAACATGGAGCTTAAAGGACTTCCTAGGGTGTAACTTGAACAAATCAACCATCACAGACCGTTTGCTTTAGTATGAAATATAAATTAGTTTACCACTGTGGAATCTGCTTTTCAAAATAAAAGTCAAGTGGTTCTCTGTTTGAACTCATGACGGACTCCCACCACACCATCCACCCTAAGTACATTAGAGAGACAGATAAAGGAGTGGGTGGCCTACTCTTGCCAAGTTTTTTTCAGTTACTTCATACACAGCGCAGTAAATGTGTGGTGTCTTCATCTCTTCATGAAGTTGTCCAAGGAGGCCGGCGTCCTCTGAATGGAGTGGATATTCCTCCTCACTCTGTCTTCTAAGGAAGAGCTGGCAGCGCTTTCCAACTTCATGTCACTGCAAAAGAACAGGGTGGGTGTTATTGAGGGTGAAAATTAAAACATGCAACTAAGTAAAAAAAGATACCAGGTAAACATTACTAGTGGATTTCAAAACAAAATAATAGACATGAGTCCAGAAACATCACAGCTTCATGACACAAACTTACTGGATGAAGCCGGCATGGCGCTCATGCTTGTCGTTCTGTTGCTGCTGCCGCTCCTGCTCATCTTGCCTCTTGTATCTCTTCACATTATTCTCTCTGTCCTCCTCCCTCTGCTTGGCCTCATCCATCATCTCCCGCCTCTTTTGCTCTAGTTCTTCTGCAGAGAGCTTCCTGAATCAGACAGAATTTTTTTTTTTTTTTACAAGAACTGATTCAGACAATGTAGCAGAGTGCTCTGAACAGTATTTTCTCATTTCCTTGACCCAACCATCAGTCACACACAGTAAGTGCAAATCAATACATGTGGAGGAATTTGGCTTTGTCGCAGTGGCATTGAGAAGCATTTGTACATTAATCCATGATGACCAGGTTAGAATTTTAAGACAATCAATGTGTGTGATGGCACAAGCTCAAAAACTTAAATCTACCTGCATTTACAATTGAAAACAAAGTTCTTGCAAATAAGCACAAAACATCATAGCAAGTTTTAGATTGAATTCCATCATAATAATATAATAGCAATATAAATGGCACAATTCCATATACATGTAAAGATTTGAATGAAAATAATGCAGAATTCTGTTCCTGAAACTCTGTGAACACATACTTGGACACGTGGTTCGTCTGTCTGCGATAACTCTTCGTCTGTGGGCTGGAAGCTTTGGGTTCAAACTTCCTGTCGCTTCTGTGTGAAGAAGAGGAGTGCGAGTGATTGTCCCTGAAGCTCCTGTGAGGGGATCGGGAACGGCTCCTCTCACGCCGTGAGTGATTGGAGGGAGCTGAGGACTGGTGATGTCTGCCAGCATGGAGCTGAGAGGAAGACATTTTATGTTAGGACCCATCAGGGGAATCATTAAAGGCAAACATTTGGTCTCTTCTCTTTACTGACCTGTAGACCGTAGCCTGGGGTATGATTGGAACGATACTTTGTGTTTGATGAAGAGTCATCTCGTGAATGTGACCTAAAATATACAGACAATGATCAATACTGTTGACTTAACTGAAATGATTGCCTGAATGTTACGAGTTCATAGAAAATATCGTATTTAAGGTCATGTTTTGCTGGTTGAGGACACATTAATCACATATACAATAGATTTTCAAGTTATTTCTCTAACAATCTCCTTACAAACCTGTGTTTTTTCTCATCCTCCTCATCAGAGCTTGAATTTGAACTCTTTCTCTTGTGCTTCTTCTCCTTTCTCCTCTGTTTGTCTGCTTTCTTCTCCTTTTTTTCCTTCTTCCTCTTCTTTTTCTTGTCCTTTTTGTCCAGATTCTGGCGCAACTGTGAGAGAACCGACAGACATTTTAACAAAAAAAAAATACTTGACAAGCTCCAGCTCCTGATACAGCACTACTTTTTTTTAACAACACAACACCATCATAAGTAAATAAAATAACTTCATATCTGCAAACATTAAGGCTAATATGGGGCTACTTTTAACATGCAACTGATATATTGTTCAGCCTCTAGTATTTACAGCTATCATAAAATACCTGTAAAAGACAAAAAATGATACATATTTAAAAATCTGTAATTATTAGTCATTTTACCATTTCTTTGATCCTCTTCATCTTCACAGGATTAGTCAAAACTTCTCTCTTCTTTTCTTCTTCACGTTTCCTTAAGAAAAAAAACATTTTAAAAACATGAGCTAATTTTGAAGCAGTGAAACATAATTTCAGCAGAAATGACACAAAACTAACCTGATTTCAAAGAGGGGGTCTTCCCTGATCTTGGCAGCCAGGTCAAGGTTGGAGGCAGTGGTGGCTGGGTTGAAGATGGACCCAGGTAGGAGGCCGGTCTCAGCTGATGGACCGCTCTCTGGCTCCTCGTATTGGTCGGTGATCTGCTTGTCGATGGAACGTCCCATCAGATACTCATCTCTGGAAACCTGCCCAGCAGGGCCCTGGTACATCCAGTCCAGGCGATCATCCTTTTTTCTGTCATCATACAATGAAAATTAAAATTTAGAGACTATTCTTCTGTCTCAAGCACCAAAATATTGGTGTTGGTAATATGACAGAGGACTTACTTGATGGCACCACTGTTCTCTGCAAATCTGGTTATTTCTTCTCTGGCTCTTTCCTCTTTCAGCTCTTTCTGGAGCTCCTCCATCTTCTTGCATTCGGCCTCATGTTTCTGCTCCGCTTTCCAAACACGCTCAATGTTTTTCATAGTCTGGGGATGCCAGCTCTTTTTCAGGTTCTGTCAGAGGACAAATGAAATAAGTTTGTTATTGCCTATACTGTGAAAGGTAGTTTTAAATGGGATCAACAGAATAACACTGAAAACACTCTTAGTACGTTTGTATTCCCCTACTAGTGGGCATTAATGTTTTGACCTGATGATAACATGAACAGCAGTGATAACTTGGAAACCATGACACCTCCAGGTGAATTCTGAAGCGGAATATTTCAGAAGAAATCATGACACTAACAACTAACTTTTAATATCCACGAGGGAGTCTTCCCAAAGGGATTAATATAGTTCTATCGAATCTAATCTCTAATCTAACCCTCAACTCTAATGCTAATACAGCCATGCTAATATCAAGCTAATGCGACCTAGGTTGGCTGTTGATGTTAGAAACAGCTATCGAAATATCTGCTAACTCTAATATTAAGACCTACAAGTTAATTGTAGCTCGTAACAGTTCCCAGTGTGTATTGACAAATTGTGTAACTAGCGTATTCACCAATAATCACACGGGTATCTTAAAACATCCATATTCTAAATGGAGTTTGGTGTGATCGGTCTCTAAATGATGGCGAAAGCGGCAATCGTGAATACAATATCTCGTGCTTACCAGGTCGCCTCCCCCCATGTTGAAATATTGGTCGTTTCAGTCCAAGAAGAAATGATACTGATCAAAACTGTTGTTGATAAAAAGTGGGACAACGAAAGTTGAACGCGAGCTAAAAACGAACTGCTCCCCGAGGTCAAAGAGTGACGTATTTCCTGTCTGTCTAATGTAGTTCCGGTTTCAGCTCACGGCTCTTCGTGCAAAATCAATCAGCCGGTAAATAAATGGACTCCGCACGAGCTGTGAGCGGCTTTGGATGCAATGTACAGAACTAATTCATACTGAAGCAGTTTACGTGTTTGAATATCATTCTGACTTTAAAGGTGTTTAAGCAGGTGAAGAAGAAGAAGCAGATCCAGTAGATGGCGGTAATGCACCTTGACGTTAATTGCCACCCGCATATAAACCGAACAAAGAAGACCTTCCGTACCCCTTAAAACAAGGGTTATTTGAACACAATGCGTTTTTAAAATGGACATACCTAAATATAAAATACATTCATGTATATAATATGCGGATTATTTCCCCTTTAGACATGTCATGAACCCACAGATTCATCTTCTGATCCCTCGGGGTGTCCAGAACCCCAGACAGGAAACCACCCATTCTCTTAGAATAAGCCTAGTTTATGCTTCTTACAGTCCCCTCATGAAACCCCATTTAAATCCAATAAATCTGGATTTGTATTTGTATTTGTACCAAATTACGCACATTGATAACTGTCAGTTTCCTAAACATACCTGAATCTTATCTATGAAGAAACATGAATTATTCTATGTGAAAGCAACTAGAATGTTGAATAACACCCTCACAATATTAAAGAAAAATTTTTTATTGGCTCTCTCCTGACCGATACTACATCTTTCCACCAGGTTTCCAGTAGTTTTTGTATAATCCTGCTAACAAACAAAGATGAATACATAACCTTCTTGGTGGAGGTAACGAGGCTACTGCATTAAAACTGTTAAGAATAACTATAACTGTAGATATAAGAGCAACATCTGATTGTACAGAAAATAAAATGTTTGTATTACCTTTATAGCAATTCTTGATTCATGATAAAATAATAACACACTCTAAAACATACAACACTACTACTACTACTGCTACTAATAATAGTAAAAGTTCACAATCTTATCTTCTGTAAATAAAGGTTTGACACACACACAGAATATAGTTTTTTATTTAATAAAGGACAATAATAGATTAAATACAAGTTATTACACCATGATGCTTAACTTAATAAAAGTTTTTAAACTTATTTTATAAGAGTTTCCACAACTAAAACATTTACTACAGCAACCAATTCAAAAAAGGTGGTACATTTTGTCCTACTGAACATAATAAAAGAAAATATCATGAGCCTATCTATAATCACATCAACAAACATAATGATAATAGTCAATATGAAATAATTGACTGATGTTTAAGCACTAGCTTCCTCATCTTATCATCTATACATACATACAGCAACATTGAGCCTCCAATAATGAAGGCACGCTAATGTAGAAATCTCAGCCTAATGTGTGTATTTGTTTACATACATCCTAATAGTGTCTTAAAGTGTAAAGCTGCTCACACTGCTTGCTACAGAACTATTGATCATACAGTACTGATTATGAGGGTTAACTAGCCAGAAGAAATTAGCCTACCTAAACAGATTCGGCTGCGTGTCGTTCAATTCCCTTGTATTTCATCCTCGACTGCTAACATCACAGTCTCTCTCTGTTGATCGAATAAATGGTTTGTCATATTACAACAAAGCATCTTGTAAAATGATTTGTGTTGTGTTGAGCATGAAAAACTGGCAGCTTCAGGCAGACCAACATCTGTTAATAAAATGTGTCGAGAGATTGGGATTATAGCTTGATCCGACATGCAAATAATTATGATGGTGATGATGTTTGGAAGATAGTATTAGTAGAACAACACCTTGCTTCCCACAGGTTGGGTCCTTTAAGATTTTCTGTTGCATATTTATGAGACCAAAATAGAATCTATTCTTTTTGCCACTTCAGGGCAGCGGAACAGGTTGTAAACACAACACTGACATATTTTCACCACATGAAACTGTAATGGCAAACAGTTGCCAAATGGCACGTGCAGCAGATTCAGAGCAACAATAGCACTGACATGGAGCTTTGAATTTGTTCTTCTGCTCTTTAGCTGCTGTACAGTATACTCCATCCTGTCCACCACCTTGTCTGTCTACTGTTTGGCTGGTGGCTGGTGGTGGCTTCACCATTTTTACTGAATCCAGTAGCTTGCTGCAGGACACAGGGCGGATGAAAGCAGCGAGACCGAACCAGCAGCAGTAAAATTGTGGCTGCTCAAATATGATAAAAGTGCCACTGAGAGGAGCTGCAGTCAGATGATAATCTTTCACATTACACAGTCATTTGATCCGTTTGTTTAAACATATATTAATAAGTGCAGCTTTAAACCTTGGGACTGCATAGGCCACTGGATGAGGGTACGTCCCCGTACCCATGATGTAATGAAGTTCTGCTTTGTGCTGGAAGTTTCATTCAACACCAGCAGCTTGATGTGTTGACAGGGTGGATCTGTGGAATTGTGTTTATATCAGCATGTCCCAACAGAAACCAGGATTCATTTAGCCAGGCAACGTTTTCTCCCCATGCCCGACTCAATCTTCTTGTTCTTACCCAACAGGAGCGGAGGCGCCATCTCCAGCTGTTGGGACCACTACTTAATGGTTTGTTTGCTTTGTTCAGTCTATCTGGTAACCCGAACACATGTTTATTATATGATTTATATTATATGATATGATACTATATGATATTATGTGATATTATGTTATATTATATTATATTAGGATCACATCACATTAGTTTTTCATTGTGGACACTGTCACAGCTCAGAATTGTTGTTTGTTCTTTCATTCTGTTTATGTACCATTTCATTTTAATTACTTAAATACCAGCAGACACACACCCAGTTCAGTGGCATGTACTGTCGAGCATGCAAATGCCTATTGACCTTTTAAAATTTTGAAGAAGCTGTTATTATATTCCAGTGTCTCATAACAAATTGCACAGTAGGCTGCACTCACACGGCGACAGTCTGAGACAAATAGAAAATATTGTCGCTGTCTACTTTCTCTGTGATTGATTTCATTGTAAACAAGTTAACAAGCCACCTTCAGTTGGACTGTAGCTCTAGCAGCAATGAACGTCAAGCAGCAAGTGGCAGCTTCTGCTCGGTTGCCTGCTCGGCCACATTTCACCTTAAGTAAACACAGCGGAAACTTTGATCCACTGGTAAAACTCATGCTTTCTCTGTGTGTTATAACATTTATGTTCACTGAGGTGGCCCAGTTGATAAACTCACGGGACAGCAGACGTGTATTTCCATCCAGCTTGCATTAGTAAAAGTCCAAACATGTCTTCTTTTCTCTATTCTATTGTGAAACTATGACACCTCTTATGACAGAGGTGTGACAGAACTGATGGTGAACCTTTGATGAAAGATGAAATTAGCTGGACTGCCCTGTCACACTAGAGACTGAGGGGTCTGTCTCACATTTCAGCTTCATCGGAGGCTCTGTGGTGTCGGACACAGACACGTTTGAGGATGTCTGGGGGGGAGTGGATGCATCAAAGCCCTTATCCATCCTGCCATCGCCATTTACCCTCTCCTCCCCATGTCCTGGCGGGGACTCGTGTGTGCGCATGTGCTTGGCCAGGTGGTCGTTGCGCATAAAGACTCTGGGGCATAATGCACAGCTGAACTTCTTGGCTCCCGTGTGCGTCTGCAGGTGGCGCTGCAGTTCATCAGAGCGTGTGAATCTCTTGCCACAGAAGAGCCAGTTGCAGACAAATGGCCGGTCTCCGCTGTGCCATCGTAGGTGCGCCTTCAAGTGGGAGGTCTTAGCATACGCTTTGCCGCAGCCGGGGATGTGGCAGTTGTGCATGTGCTTCCTTCTGCTGTCATCAGGGCTCTGGCCCAGCTGCTCAGCATGGACGCAGTTAGGGCAGCGACACGCGGCCTGACCAGCGCCTCTGGAAGAGGAGCGGCGTGGGGGCTTGGGACGGACAGAAACAGAGGTCTCCTGCGGTTCCTCAAGAGAAAATGGATCTTGCTGCAGCATTTCAGGGGCCAGTGGCTCCATTTTGAAGCCATCCTGGGGGAAGAGGTGAGGCGAGTGTGAGGCTGGAGCGTGTTGAGCTGAAGGCAGGGTGCACAGCTGTGGGTCAGAGCCGTAGGGCCCTAAAGATGGCTGCAGCCCCATGGAACTCCCTGGGCTCACTGAAGGCAAACCTACACCCTGGCCTGTCTGCAGGTCTATCCAGCTCCCTGGTTGGACGTCCCTGTGGAGGTCCCACCACGAGGGGATGTTCATGTCTTCTGAGTTGCCACTAGGTGGGGCTGTCCGTAACCAGGGCTCGTAAGGGTGGGCCATGTGAGCAGTTGGTGCAGGTGCAGGTTTGTTGGTTAGCCGCTCAAGTGTTGTTCACTATCTTTCTGGTATGGCTGAGAAGATTACCACATACTGGAACGATGATGCATTGAAAAACCCTAAAGAAAGAAAGAACAGAGAAATAGTTAAGTCTTCAATCTCACATCTCTTTCCCAGCTATATTTTGTCAATGACTTCACTGGAGCAGAAGCTGCAACTTTGAAGTCTTGAGGTCATTCTTCTCAATCTGACAGACTTTGAAGTCATGCAGCTTGTGGCCTAAATCCTCCTGTCTCCAACATTTATATGGCCAACCCCGAGCACACCCCCTTCATAGCCACGGATACTGCAGTTCTCACGCTGCGTGGCCGAGGAGGCAGAAGAGAGGGGGAGACAGACGTGTCCAGGCAGAGGCCTGCCACATGCATCCGCTGCCAGGTACTTCCCATGTAGGACAGTCAAAGACAAGAGCAAAGAAAACAACATCATCGGCCCTGTGCAGAGGTAGTGGCAGCAGTGGGGGGAGATAAATGCTTGTAAGATTGGGGGGAGGGCCGAGTGAGAAGGGGAGTGTTGACAGGAGAGCAGTTTGGGGAAGGAAGAAGTTCCAGGGAGGTATGGCTGCAGGCCAAAGTCTATTTGTACGTCTCAGAGGTTTGTGAAGATGAAACCTGGCAGACAGGAGAACCAGTTTTTTTATGAATCACACATGATTTACAACAACAGCCCTCAAGGCAAAGCTACAAAAGGAGCCCCGTAAAATGCCCCGCCTCCTACACACTGGCAGCAGAATGCATCAGCAGTTGCAGACTGACGGCATTCATGAGAATGGGAGTCCAACAATAACACGCAACAATTCCTTTATGTGTATAATTATGTGCACATGCTCTCTAACAGTATCCTGTCCCCAACACGCTCCAAGTATATTCAATGGTGCATATATCAAAAGTGTCAGTTAGCCATCCCACGGAGGAGGAGGGGCTCTAATTTTTAAGGGTGACACAAAGCTTGTTAAAGCTCAACAAGCCTGTGGAAAATTATGACAAGAAGGTACCAGCCTAAAGGACTCGGCTCCAAACATGTCCGAGCTCCAAACAATCTTGTTGACTTCCACCACACCCCCATCACATCTACAATTATCTTTACAGCAGGAAACAGTAAAGTAGTCTGAAGCTTTAGAGACTCGTATCTTAGTCTCAAGATCAGTTGGTTTACTACTACTACTACCATATCTCACCAAACAAACTACACAAGGTCAACTGGAAGACACGCATCACGACTGATATGTGGATCCATCGGGGGGCACGTGGTTCCTCGTACAGGTGGCGTCACTCTGAGACGTCCCCTGAGTAGATGTCAATTTGTTAATTCTGCTCAACCAAGGGGATAACACATCTTCACAGCTTCAGAGTCAAAACCACTCAGAGATGCTTTCTGGTTGCAATGAAATCGTAAAGCAATTAGTTTGAAATTCCCTAATGAAAGGTCTGCTGCTAAAGGCCAAACTGATTTATTTCATGGTGGCCTGGAGCCATAAGTACTGCTCTGTAATTTTTTGGGAATGCGACTCAGACGCACAGCAAAATGGTCCAACCCAACTCCGTTCTTACTTTAAAACCGTAAACAGACCAAGACAGCAGCAACCTCCTCTCTTTGCTTAAGTGCTGGGAGCGTTCTGAGCTCCGAAGGGGAACAGCTGGCATAGGGGGGCCCCCAGGGGGGAACGGCAGCCTGGGAGGAGTAGGATGGTACAGAGCAATGACAGAGCTCTGGTCATAAAACCTGCCCGACCAAGACCCAGCACAGCCCCCGGTTAACAAGGCTGCCATCATGAAGATGCACAAAGAGGGAGTGATGAAGAAAGAACGCCATTAGCGCTTCAAAACATTTAAACACAGTTGCTCTCATGGATGTGATTTTCAAAATTACAAATTTGGAAAGTTACTAATATGGCTTTTCCAAAAGGGGCTCTCCTTTTTCAGCCTTCTGATTATATTTTGAAGTCTGTTTAACAGCATCATTTACAGAAAATCCTCAGTCCATCCACCACACGTCTCCTAGCCCATCTTATCTTATCACAGATATAGAACAACACAATGAACAGAAATGCTGACTGTCTGAGTGTGGACACTCCAAACAGACTAGTTTGAGTCAAATGGCAATTCCAAGAGGTTGGTTTTAACTTGCTCAGTGTACAAGATGGGTGGAGCAGAACACAACGGTTGAGCAGGGGTCAGGTCAGTTGACAGAGAAAGGCACTGTGGCGAAATTCAAAATCCAAAAATTAAATGTCTGAATCTGACTTTGCAGTTATAATGTGCAATGTTCGGATTGAAACCACAATGTAACCTGCACAGAACCAGGATGGGAACATACAGTGCTGGAGATGGAATGTTTATCCCTCTGATCAGTTTGTCTGTTTTCTAGTTTGACTATGATTGAGAGCAGATAGGATGACAGCTTTACATCCTCATTGATTTATGGGTGTCTGTCTGATGCTGATTTATAAACAGTTGTTGAAAATGCCGTCTTTGCTGAATATTTTACTACAGTTTGTACAAGCTGCTGGAGTTGTTTCCCCTTACAGCAAGGTTTCACAGCATTTGTATCCTTCTGTGGAGAGAGTGCAAACAGATATCTATTTCACATTTGATTGGCAAAGTGTCATGAGTTGCTGTTATCCGCCACTTGAAGTCTGAGCACTGGCACTGCTGCCTTTTTAAAAATGTAAAAATGGACAAAAACTGGTTGTTTATTCCTCCCAGTTGCCATCTGAATACAATTCTATGGGCTTAATATGCTTCAGTATTTACGTATTAACGCTCAGCAGGATTAAATATCAACGATACAGACAGGATTTATTTCACGATGAGATGGCACCTTAATGTGGCAGTAAAGAAATACACATAATATGTTAAATTTAACTAGTGTAGCTATCAATATTGTCAAGATACACACATACAATCATGGAGAGCGAAGTACTTATGTTAAGTTACCTAAGTACTTGCACTTTCATGTATTACCATTTTTTGCTACTTTGTGATATGCTTTAACTGCCTTTTTTATTTCTTATAGTTGATTTTACACATAAATGCATATTTTATACATAAAAATATTTTTACAAATTATTCAATTTTTTTTTTGATCAAACTGTCCAACATTATACAAAGTAATTAAAATTACTTCACCTCACCTCCAGACATTACAGCGTTAAAGTACCACATATCAAAACATCAATAATAATAATCCGATAATTTGATTACTCACTGGGGCCATTTGGCATAATGGTATTTTCATTTTCAATACTGTAACTACACTGTAAGTACCTTGAATGGAGAGCTTGTACATTAACACTGTGGTATTGATAATTTTAATTAAAAGTAAATAGTATATATCTAAATAGTGGCTGCATTTGAAATACTTCCATCGCCACAATCAAGCTATTGAATGAAACCCTTCCTATAAAAAAAATGTAATTAAAAAAACTCCAAATGAAACACAATACATAAATTCACATTATCAAATCCAATGATGTGGACTTTTTCTTTTTAATTGCCAATATTCTGATGAATTTACTGTCTACATTTGCCTTTTATTGTCTGGGAAATGCTTATTTTCTCTCAGGTTTTAATACGTATCAGGGTTTTCTTCTTGTATGAAGAAGAGTCTACTTTTAAAAACCTAAATGATTTTATAGAAGGAAAAAGAGACGCAAAAATGAAAAAATGAGATCACAAATTAAAATTCACAGAAACAAATGTGTGGAGTTTCTCAACAAATGCAGATTTGATTCATTTTTCAAGACAACAGAGATTCTTCCTATGTTGTTTAACATTTCAAGCGACACATTATTCAAACTAACAAAGGCGTAAATAAATAAATTCTGAGTAAATGATATAGCAGGCGACATCCCATTGAAACCCCTTCCACGCAGAAAGGTCATACTGCTGGAGTCTAGCTGCAGAAAACGGTTAAACATAATCCACACTTTGATTGTACCTGAAAAACCTGGACTTTATATTTATACATTCAACACATATTAGTGAAAAGAACACAATATAATAATAATAATAATTACACTTTACATTATTTATTTATCTTCTTTATTTATTATATCTGATTGCAGCTCATGTTCCTCAAGTTAAAGGGGTTTACAGTGTGTCTATTAAAAGTTCTGGTCATTGTAACACATTATTCACTTTATTTTATCTTCTTTGGTCATGAAGGGACTTTAACTTTTCTGAATCTGAATTGAAGCCTATAGGATGTGACTGTGTCATAATGAATGATTGATCATTGATATAATCTCTGGTAATAAGAATGAAGGTCATTTGATTTAGAATCCACATATCCTGAATAAACAGACACATAAGAGAGATGACAGGAGGTTGCAGTGATAGAGCAAACTCAAACTGCTGAGTTACCTGTTGTCTCTTGGAGCTGCTGCTGCTATCTTCTGTTTGGAGCCAAGTCGGAACCCTGTGTGAAGAAACGTGCTCTCAGCTCAGCTCTGTCGCTTCTCCCCTGCGTAGAAAGGTGCCCAGAGAGAAATAATATCCTCATCATATTTCAGCGGCTCCAGGTGAAGGACACATGCAGGTAGACTGTGTTCTCTGCACTGACTCACTCTGTGATCACGTTCGAGTCTTTGAGGCTCTCCAGGCTCCGCCCCCGGCGGCTCCGTGTGCTCCCCGGCTCAGGATGCGCCCTCGGCGGCTGCAAGGTGAGGAAGTGGCTCCCTGCGAGACTACTCAGGTGCCAACAGTAGAGGTGCAAGTACTCGTACTGTAGCTAAGTGCTAACCTGAGGTACCGGTACTGGTATCTTTATTCCACTGCAGTTCAGATAAGAGTATTGTGCTTTCTTTTTGCTTTGCTCCAGTTATTTGATAAGCTACTGGTTACTTTACAGGGGGTCAGAGGTCAGACGGCATGGTCAATGACTGTGGGTCATTTCTCAATGATTTGTTGAATAATGGCTTTATTCACCTTAATAATTCAATTATTAAATTACGCCAGATCTCTACCAAGATCTTCCATACAACACACGTGATGAACTTATGCTATAACACACCCATAGAAAAAAAATGTAACCAACCTTATAGCTGCAGACAGCTGTAATACTGAAATGCTACTAAATGCATCAACAATATTATATATATTTTCATAGGTACTATACTCACAGGGTCCATTTACTTTACTATTTTGACTACCTTTGGTACATTGATGTACATTTTCTTATATATAAAGAACCTTTCAAATATTTGGTATTGTTACTCCAGTGGTTCCAAAACCGGGAACCATGAATTTTAATTTAATTTATTCCTCCCATCTTCCAAACTACAGTGTTGGCAGGTGAGTGATTCTGTTTGAAGTCTGACAACAATTCCAAAGTCTAAAAGTCAGAATCTAAAAGTCTTAAAAAATCTAAAATTCAGAATCTAAAAGTCTTAAAAAAAATCTAAAAGTCAGAATCTTAAGAACAAAATGATTAGTGGAATAATGACAGAGCTAAGGAACACCAGCCTTGTGTCATTTGGGAAATTGACTAGACGAAGACTGATTTATTCTGTCAAATCAATTTGTACAAATAGATTTAGCAAGTTCAACAAATATCGGTGGTCACAGCATAAGTGCATAACAGTTATGGACCTTGGAAATAATAGTTGGAGATGAAAATATGAAATCAAAGTCTACCTGCTACCTTTTCATGGCACTCCCCTTCCTTAGAAAGAGAGTAAATGATCATTTCTGTCAAAACATGTCTGTATTTCCTTGTTCGTAGTTGATATGAGAAGATGATATTCAGTTTGTAAAATAAACTATGCTCATATTTTTAAACATCATATTCGCAGCAGCATTATTTCAAAACTACAGAGTATTGATACCTCACATAAATACAACACAATATTCTTTTGACATCAGGTAAAAGGTACATCATAAAGATTTATCATTTTACACTTTATCGTTATATTGATGTTAGCATCTTTACATGTTGTACAGCACTGATGCAGTGACCGAGTCAGGGTGGTGACCACAGAGTGTTGAGACCTGGAAATCCTTTGATTGCAGACGCTCCTGAGAGGTGGTTTGACCCAGGCTACAACACATGCACAACACACACATCTGAATATCTTACCTGGCAAAAAATAAATAAGAAAACAGTCACTCCTGTGTGCACAAGTTCTGTGAATCAAATCATCTGCACCCTTCAAAGAAGAATTCATTGTTCTAATAAACTGTTGTATAATGTTTATGCCAAATGTTACATTTTTATTCTTTTAACATAGCAAAGTTCATTCTGTAAGTGACTTTGAATGTACATCACACATTTAATAGTTTTTAACATCATCTTCCTTTGAGGGCTTTTTTATATTTTGTCTCCTCGCTGAGTTAATTCCTTTCCTGTCACAGCATGTTGGTGGAGCAGCTTCAAATCAACTGACAAACACAGACCACAGACAGGCCGGCGGGAAGTGACTTCCTACCCTCTGCTTTTTCTGAAGCAGCACTTTGCAAATGCTGAGTTTAAAGTGATAAAATGACGGTCATATAAAAGAACCACTGGGCGATCTGCAACTATTGACCGAGGATTCAACATGAGCCTTGATAGATTTATACAATCGGATCATTTCATTTAGAGTGATTGCGCTTATCAGGAAATGTAATTTCTCTCTAAGATTTTTGCATGAAAACGTTTTTTACGCTTAAATATCTGCAAATAAAAGTCAGACAGCGAATTTAAATCGAATGGGATGAATTTGTTTCCAACACAGTAGAATTGAAATCAGTGTAATTAGTATAATATCTCAGTGACTCATATCTCTTACTATAATGTCTTTATACACTTAGAGGAGATCAGGCCACTGAATTGAAGACCACACACCACGGCTAAATGGTGTTTACCAACGTCTTCAAATAGTCAAGCTTATTTCCTCATGAATACAATGCAGCACAATCAGAAAGAGACTGCTTCGTAACATTTAATTACGGCACAATTTCAACCGGGGGCTTACAAATTCTCTTAATGATTTAAATGTGTTTAGATTGCTTGTTTGACAGTTTTTATTTCTGTCACTGCTAACATTTTTTTTGTGGAAGAGTATTGTTGTGTGTACATGAAAATGTTTGTGGTTCTTTAAAAACTCTCACAAGGAGGCTTTCCTACCGATATTTACTCTTGACATTGTTTCGACCAAATCCCTGTGAATTTCAGTGAGGTGAAGTGAGGGATTGTTTTGTATGACTGCAGCACCTTCGACCTTCACTGTTTACACCTAATCCATCTACCTATTACAAATTACGTTTCTATAGGTGTGGCTAATCAATTTTTAAATCATAATTATTTTTGATGTTATTCATTATCAAGCAAATTATAGAGATTGTGACATTAAATGACATTTTTGCTCTTGGTGTTATCACACTACATTCACAAACCAATAGAATGACTGCCTATTTGGTGGCTTTGTGGATTGGACAAATATCTCACATCTCTCTGTCATAGAGTCTCTATCACGTGTGACAAACTTCCAGACAATTATATGTATAAGTATTATATTTGACTATCTTTAAATGAAGCACCTGAGGAAACATGGTCGAAGTCTTGAAGAGAGGTGAGCAAAGAAAAAATGGGATTTGAGATACTGATGCAGGTATGATCTGCCAGTGTCTTTAATGCCATGTGTTATAAATCATGGAGAATCTGAACTCACAATCACAATTCAGATCATTGATTGTGATTGTGTATTAAAAGATCTTTGAAAGACTGACAACTACTACTACTTTTCAGTAGTCTAGTAGAAACCAGACAGTGTAGTGATGTCAGCAGTGTATAAGACTTAAAGGAAAAATGTATAAACTTTTTTATATCAGGGAATGAAGCAGGGAATATTTTTTCAGGCATCAAATTTCCAGTTTTGAAAACTTCCTGAAGGCCTGGAAAAACATTTTACCAATAATGTTTTAAGTTTTACATTTTTGGATCTTGTGAACAGACATTTGAGATTGTAAGCTGCACTGAGGGATGCAAAGTGTTGATAAAACCCAGATTCAAAAATATATTTTTTAAGAGTTTGAGTGTGTATAGTATGAGGATGAGATACAGCATTATAGCCATGAAATAGGCCATAAATCTTGATGCATTTGGAAAGAATTAATGAATGAAGTGAATCTCCACACAACTGAGCAAACACCATTACTGGAGGGGGAACATGAGATGTGGGTTAAGTGAGTTCAGTTGATTTGTCTCTGTGAAACTCTGAGGTCAAAACTGACTCTCTTTTGTCAATGATAAAGAATATGAATTCATATTCCAAACAAACATGACCAAATTACCTTAGCCATACCAGGACAAATCCCTTTAAGAGTGGTCAAGTCAGTGGACAGTCAAAAAATCCATAATTTTTTACTAGCCCTCTTTGACATTTGAATTCAAGGGTAACATGATTTCAAGGCCAACCTACGAATGGCCGGTTGATTTTACATCCAGTCTGCCCTGACAGAGAGACAGGGAAGATGTTGTCATGAAAAACGTGGATGAGCTACAAAAGGTTAAGGAACGTGAAGAACAGACAGGGCAGCTGAGCTTTGTTAAAGGGGAGAGGAATATCTCCAAGAGAGGATGACTGCAACACAGGGTTTAAGCTTGTTTACCCTTCTTCACTCTCTCTCCGACTGAGGACGGACTACAAAATGGAGTGATTCACAAAGTGATGGGGTGAGCAACAGCTGGTCGGTTAACATACTAACTTCAGTATATATCTCTGCGACGCAATACATTGATCTCTTTCACGCAATTTCAGAACAACCATCCATCCATCCTCAGGACGAAACAGTTGTTTCTTTACATTCTGTTGACAGTCTTAGCTATTTTGAATGCTTTAAAGTTTAGTACTTACATATTGCCCCAATAAAGAAATAATTCAACATTTGGCATATAACCCTTTTAACTTTCCCCCCAAAGATTAGATAATGATTGACACTCTTGTCTCTAATATGATGCCAGAGCCAGATACTGGTTAGCTTAGCTTAGCAAAGACATAATAGGGAGAAACAGCTCTATCCAATGGTAAAGAAATCCAATTAGCAGACCCTTCAAAAGTCATTAATGAAAACATAATTAATTTCTTGAACACTGATTCAAAAAAACGCTATTTTATGATATGGTATTTTATGGTATGGATATGGTTTTACAGGGGTTTGTAGGAAATCACACTGACCGAGAAATAGTTCAGCACAGATCGTTTCATCATTGAAATAGCCACTGTTTTTAAGTTAAACAAACAAGACACAACATGTTAATGAATGCTTTAGGGGTGCTAATGTGTGGATTTCCACAGTCTTTGTGCTAAGCTAATCAGCTCATGATGGAACATTTATATTTAAAAAAGCTCTCATGTAATGTTACGCTGGAACATTTTAATGGATATGACTTAATATATTGATGTACCTATTTGCCAGTGTCCTATACACACCCCAAAGACATTGCATCACTGCTTGTTAGTATCCATTGTATTTTTAATTACAGTAATTATTCAGAAACAAGTTTGTGGAGCTTTTGCTTTGGTTTCTCTAAAGGTTCAAATAGTTTACGTGAGAGATCAGTCTGAAT